TTTACTCTTTTCGCCCCCAGCGTCCCGCAGGGGGCGCTGCGACGCCCTGGTTCCCGGCCCCTCCCCTCGGCCAACCGTCGATTGGGCGCCGTGTGACGTCACGCCGTTTTAGCCAAACAAATGGGTTTCGGGGCGAGCGTTGGGCTCCGCCGCGCAGCGCTGGGTGCTCGGTTCGCCTCAGCAGTGGGGAGCGAGCCAGGCCTCCCGCCGTCGCCGCCGCATCGGGCTGGTGCAGCCCCGGGCCAGGCCCCGGCCCGGGCAGGAGCGCAGGTGGGTCGGGGCCGGAGTGGGGCGTGGCGTGAGGGCGGCGCGGCTGGGGTCCCGCGGCGGCCACGGTGGCCTTTCCCCGCCCCCTCCCGCCGCCCGCCTGTGCTCCCAGGCGCCGGGAGGGTGGGGGTGGGGGCGCGGGCGCTGCCCTCAGGTCTGGGGCTCGCGGCGGCCCAGCGCGTGCGGAGCGGGGACCCGGCGGCCCCCGGTTCCCGGGCTGCCCTCCGTCCACGCACGGGTCGAGCGCTAAGCGTTTCCGCGGGCCACGGAGGGTCCCGCGGGCCGGCGGGCGGGAGTAGGGTCCCGGGTCGGGGCTGAAGCCGAGGAGATCACGGATAGGCCGTGAGCAGGCACCGGGCCGCCGCTCCTACCCGCGGCACCGTGCGGGTGAGGAAGTAGGGCTCTGGGTGGGGGTCGCCTCGCCCCTGTCGCACGCGGCCACTCTGTAGGTCCCTGCCCCAGCGCAGGTGAGCTGGGGTTTGTCCTTAACCTTCCTCGGGGACTGGGCAGGACGGAGGCTCGGATGTTTCCCTGGGTTCGGCTGTCGACTGCGGTTCGGCCCCAGTCCGCGATTAAGTCATAATAATACTGTGGGTCCGCGTGTCTGTGACGTCAGGGGTCTCCAGGAGATGGGGCGTGATGTCACTGCAGGCCCAGGCGGGGACCTGAGCGCGCGGAAGGGCCAGGAGGACTCGCAGGGGAGGAAAAGGAAGTTCAGTCCTCTGTCAACGACTGGGATCGCCGCGGATTTGAATCGAAAGTTATTCGATACCAGCATTTTACAATTTTAATGTGATAGTTATAATGGTCTTTAACTTCATGTTAAACAAGCATCGTTATTACAGTCAAATATGAGACGCATTTGATTAAAAAGATGTAAATCAAGGTAGGAGGCTTGGGGGGGTGTTGGATGTTTAATGTAAATGCCTTTCATGAAGGTGAACTCGGATGACTTGTGAGCAGAATTACTGAAAAAAAAAAATAGAACCAGTTGGTGTATTGATAATTCGGTTTGCTTTGCTTTTTTTGTGTGTGTGTGAAACAGCTGCTACAGCATTTTTTGTTAGCAAATGGCCAGGAGGCGGGACTCGGATTTTAAATGAAATTTTTATTTCCACTTTTATTTTTTTGAGGCAGAGTCTCTGTCACCTGGGTAGAGTGCAGAGGCATCATTATAGCTCACTGCAACCTCCAACTCCTGGGCTTAAGTGATCCTCCTGCCTCAGCCTCCGGAGTTGCTGGGACTATGGGCGCGGGCCACCACGCCTGCCTAATTTTTTCTGTTTTTCATAAAGACAGGGTATCGCTCTTGCTGAGGCTGATCTCTAACTCCTGACCTCAAGGGATCCTCCTGCCTTGGCCTCCCAGAGTGCTAGGATTACACGTGTGGATGGAGGCTGCCCTAAATAAACTTTTTGTATTGTAAAGGGCAAGGGGGAGTTTGAGTTAATCCAACATTCTTCTTAAATAATAATTACTTGAGTATTTAATTGATCCAGGATTTAATTGATCCAAGTTGTCTCTGTCCCACCCGGTGCTTCCATGGATAATTGAGGGTTTTCTATGGCTTAGAGCTCAGCAACAAGCCTTTTTCTTGTTTTCTTACTGAGACCGGGCTATAACTTAATATAATAACATATCCCAGGACTGCCTATGGGGAGAGGTAACTAAAATTTTGTCTGTAGTACTTTGAAATATGAAATTACAGAATTTGTAGAAAGTGATTTGTGTATGAATATTATTTTTCTTGCAAAGCTTTCAAAAGACATAGGCCGGGAGAGAAGCTAGTCACTTGGTATACTGACCCTCTTCAGGTATTCCAGCATATCAATACTTTCATTTCTTTTTCTTTGTAGAATTATGTAAATAGAATCTAGTTCAGAAGGTAGACGGCTTAAAATTCGAAGCTGTAATTGCATTTGGTGTCTTCAGCTGGAAGTTTGACTAGGACTCCTCAATCCTTTCTCACTGACCTTGACTTGTAGTGGTAGGATTTTTGTTTTCTCAATACTTCCTGCTCTTTAAAGGTGATTGATAAGATACTGTCTCCAGGATTTTCTATCAACATGCAGATGGAAGTTATGCCCATTAATGCAAGAAATGAAATAAAAAATTTACCCTTGTTAATTACTATTAGACTTGATTGGAAGTTCATGTTACAAGGGTTTTCTGTAAATCTTATTTTGATCCTCACTAGTCTTGGGAATTCGACAGCATTGTGTGTACCACTGAAAGTTATTCTTTTTTTTTTTTCCTTTTAAGAAATTAGGAATTGTATGGTGATAATGTTGAGTGAAGGCTCTGAAGATGAAATTTAAGCCTTTGGAAAGACTGATAGGTACCTAACCATGTGAAACTGCTGATATTGGGGATGTTAATCCATCTACTCTTTAAGATGAAAGGACCTTGGCAAAATATTATGTAATGCAATTGAAGGAGGTACAAAAAGGACGCTTGCATGTGTCTTTCCCAAGTTCTAGCCATTGTGGGGCAGGATACCTGGCTGTGTAAATTAAGTGTACTAGCTTCAATTGGAAAGGATGAAAGTGAAACTAAAGGTGAGTTGAAAGACCTACAGGTGATGATAATAAAACAGCTGCTCCTTGGCAGTGCATTTTTTTCCCTTTATTTTGCTTATGGAAAATGAGTTATTAGGTGGCAAATAAATGTTAATTTATTGTATTTTGATGTGACTGAGGGACGATGACAGGTATAAAAAAACCACCTTCTGGGTATTGTTGTATAACTGTTTAACAAGCCATAACTTGTATGAAACATTTTTACTGTCTGTTTCAACTTTTGGCAGGATGTTTTTCACCCGTGTTTTCCAGTTTTGGGTCTGGGAGGCAGCTTTTACTTATAAATGGTTTTATGCAAATTGATTTGAGAATTGGGCTTTTTAAGACATTTTGTCATTTTATTCACTTAAGCATTTGAAGGGACTAAATTAACCAGTCATTAGTCATGTGGCATCTTTGTGAAGTATAAAAGCAAATGTCATGAAGAATGAGAGTGCTGTGTTTAGAAATTCTTTAGGATATGTTTATTGGATCAATTGTTTTAGTAACATTAGATAGGATTCTTATAACATTTTCTACTTTATTTTCTAAACTTAATTTATGCTCAGCCAGTTTAATTTGACAGTTTTTATATTCTAGTAAACTTTAATCTTATTTTAATATTTGTTGGGGAGAGAACATACTTATCTTTAGAGACATCTTTTAGTGTTATCTTCCAAAATTTGCAGCTGTTGAGAACCAGATACTTTTGGGGAAGCTACTATGGTATGATGAATGCCTTCCTTGTTAGGTCATGTATGACAAAGGCAAAATTCGACAAGTGCATAATCTGCAGTCATTTGAAAGCAAGGAAACCAAAGGAGAGCAGATTAACTTCAAATGCATTTAGGTCATCTGGAAATTGAAGTCCTGTCAATTCTTACCTTTGCATAATTTGTCTTCTCCCCTTTAGTTCATGCTTATGGTATTTTGAAGCTGATGAACATGTTGTATTATCCAGGAGAGCATTAATAATTAAAATGTAGATGTTTCTTAGTGTTAGTTAAAAGAACTTCAACCTTTCATTTCCAGCTCTGTCTTCTAGCTAATGCTGCACAGAAGAGGCTCTCGATTGTCCCTTTTTTAGGTATTCACCTTCATAAACCTAGCATGTGCATTTCCCACCCTCAGCACAGTGTAGATATAAATGTGAAACTAAGTGCTAAGTAAGTGTGGTTATTGCATCATTATCAGGCATGTTTCATTCGTCTTGCAACATTTTTGAGCACCTCTGTGCCAGGTCCTCAGCCAGGAACTGTGACACACAGGTAAAATGTCTTTGCTGCAAGGACCGTTAACCTTTGTTTTAACATTCCCTTGCCATGGAGGGCCCTGGTTCTGAGAGGCTAGAATTGGGCCAAGAGGATGAACCATTTATGTTATGCCAGATTGGCCAGAGGTCTTATCTAAAGGTTGGTGTAAGACGGTATTAGAAATTCCATTAAAAATAGTAGGGAATAGATTATTATAGCTTAAGACAGACAAAGGGCCTAGAGCCTAGACAGCACAGTTTTGGATTGTCCTAGAATGAGTGGAGTTTAGGAAGGTAGCACTTTCTTTGAGGCAAGAAGAAATGCTCAAGGTCAGAACCAGTGTAGGCAGCCTAAAATTAGAGGTCGAGTAAAGAGGGACAGTCCAAATATCTGTTCTCCTTTTCTTTCCACTCTCAGGCATGTATTTACTTTGTTTTTTTTTTGAAGTGAATCCTTTTCTTTAATTGATGAACTTGGGAAATACACAAGCCTCTCACAGCCTTCATTTCTGGTCTTTGCTTTTTTCTTTCTCTAACATTTTTAAAGTAAAAACGTTTCAGTCACAGAAAAGGTAAAAGAATTGTTTGTACGCTGAGTACCTAAATACGCCTCACCTAGATTCTGTAATTGATCTACTTTACCACCTACCCCGTTCGTCTTCCACTCATCAATCTTATGTTTTTCTTGTATTTCAAAGTAAGTATACTTTACACCTAGACACTTCAGCATGTCTATTACTATTTGTTTTTTCGGTAAAGTTTTTATGTAGTAAAATGTACAGATCTTTTGTATACCGTTCCCTTAGTTTGGACAGGTTTATACATCTGTGTAACCCATATCCCTTTCAGGGTATAGAACATTAATTACCATTACCATCACCACAAAAGTTCCTTCACGGACCTTCCAAATCATTGAGCTTTTTTTTTTTTTTTTTTT